GGGCAGATGTAGGAGGTGGATTCCTTAGAGGGGAGATTCAGTGGACTAAACTGATCCTCACTGTACCACAGAACTCTCTCCTGGAGGGCTAGGACTGGCCTGGGGGAACTGGTGTGGTTTGGCACCCTGCAGAGCCTAACTCTATTCTACTGCACACAGCCTCGATACACATGTTCATATGCACTTGGTCATCTTGTGTTGCTACACTGAAATGGCTCCTATGTTGCAGGGAGAGTTTTGTTTTGTTTTTTGCATATACCAACGTGCTCAGTATAAGGTGCTTAGAGACAATTGGATATATTGTTTTTGGTCCCATTGGTGATCAGAGTGAGTCTTCACATAGGCCCTTCTTTTTTCTGTCCTTTCTTGCCTAAATAATGTACCAATTATTTATTTATTTATATATAACTATATATTATATATATTAGAGATTACTGTAGTGATATGTTGCTTTTAATGCTGCTGTTTCAGACATTACATGTATTAGGTACTATCCTTGCACACATAACGTTGCATCACCACTCGTTCCCTAATGTGTACTCGGATTATGTTTTACTGAGCTAAATTACGCCTCATTTTTTATACAGATATCTGCCTACATTCTGTTATGTCCTCATCCAGTCCTCTATGCATTGCTGGGCTCTGTTAATTGTGCTGGCTTTTGCCTATATGACCCTGCCTTTAATACATATAATTTTAGTTTTATAGTATTGCTTTATGATATTTTATTTTAGCATTACATGTTGGATGCATAAGCATAGCTTTGCCTATATATTGTTGTACTGTCATACTGCCACTTGTGCACAAACATGTTTTGGAATAGTGTGCTGACTTTGTATTTACCATTTTTCTATCTTTTTACTTTCACACTTGTGAACTAATATACTTTGAATAACAAAAATAAATAAATACACATTTCAAACAGTTTTTATTCAATGGCATTATAATTTAGAGTTAAATAAAATGTTATTTTGCTATTTGATTATTTCAATAATTACATAAAGTATCTTAAAATAGCAATACGTGTAAAGCTTAGCTTAGATCAAATATGCAGGTTAACTTTGTAAAACCTGCCCTGAATAACTATCTCTAAATGCTCTTTGTCTGTCTTAGGTAAAACTTTATACTGAATTGTAGTTTACACTACATTAAAGAGACACTTTAGGCAGCAAAACAACTTTAGGTTAATGGAGTGGTTTTGGTGTATAGAACATGCCCTTGCAGTACCACTGCTTAATTCTCTGCCATTAAGGCGGTAAATCACCTTATTGCTGGCATAGTCACACGTCCCCTGCATGTGACCCACAAAGTCTCCAAATACATTTCCTGTAAAGAGAGATCTAATATTTACATTTCCTTTATTGCACAGACTATTTAATGTAGAATATATTATCTCCTGCTGTGTTAATGGCCTACTAGAACCTCCTGTGCTTTTTAAACTTCAGTTAACGAGCAGAAAATAAAACATTTTCAAGTAAACACACTGTGCTGTTACATCTGATTGAAAATGAAACCATTTGTATGCAGTCTGTGTGAGTCACAGCCTGGCATGACCTATACACCAAAACTGCTTCATAAAAAAAGTGTTTTGGTGATTAGAGTATCTCTTTAACTGAGTACATTGGAGAGCTCTCAATCACTGTTTTATCAAAACATGGTTGCAAACTATAGGGAAATAGTTCATGATTTACAGTTCCACATATTACTGATCTTTAAAATATTCACTCCAGATATATCTAACCAATCTAACATGCAGAGAGTGTAGTATCAGTTTTTTTGTTTTCGCACTCAGATTTCTTCTTTCTTGCCATCTAACCTCTTCTGCCTCCTCTGGGCTTTGGTTTCACCCTAATTGACCATATGTGTCACATGACTCCAGTTAGGATAGGCAACTAGATAATTTGGCCTCTTTAGTCACAAAGTCCAGAAACCTGTATCACTTAACTGTTTTTCACATAATAAATGAAGTTCACAAGCAGAATGCACAGAATGACATACTGTATTTTTCATTTATTATTTTGGTCTCTTTCTAAGTAACACCTTTATACCTTCCCCACCCCTGTTAATATGAGTTAATATTTAGTTAGGTGAACACAGGTTCTATTTTGGGAGACATTTTGACTGAAATTGGTACTTCTCATCTTATTGGGGCCAATTCAAAGTAAATTCACTGCTGGCAGTTGGTGTCAACAAACACCTGAGTTAGCTTAACGCTGCAATGTATCTAATGCTTAGTTGCTAAACATGAAAGATAGAGAATAAACCATTATTAGTAAGAAGTCACCCAAAGAAGGATTTAGTTCCTAAATGTAATGAAAACTAATACCAGCTGCATCATAAGACATAGCCACATAAATCAATAATATATAGAAATACCAGCAACCAGTCTGTATGTGTGTTTGTGTGTATGTATGTATGTCAGTATGTATGTATATCAGTATATGTATTTATGTGTCTGTATGTCAGTATGTATGTATGCATGTATGTATGTTAGTATGTGTATGTATATATTTGTCTGTATATCAGTATGTGTGTGTGTATGTATACATGTCAGTATGTATGTGTGCGTGTATGTATATATCAGTATGTATGTATGTCAGTATGTATGTATGTGTGCGTATGTCAGTATGTGTGTATATGTATGTCTGTATGTATATATGTCAGTATGTATGTGTATGTATGTATTTATGTATGTATGCCAGTATGTATGTATGTCAGTATATATCTATGTATATGTCTGTATGTATGTATGTATGCCAGTATGGATGTCAGTATATATGTATGTATGTGTCTGTATGTATGTATGCCAGTATGCATGTATGTATGTCAGTATATGTATTTATGTGTCTGTATGTCAGTATGTCAGTATGTGTATGTATATATGTGTCTGTATATCAGTATGTATGTGTGTATGTATATGTCAGTATGTATGTGTGTATATATATATAAATATATATATATATATATCAGTATGTATGTATGTATGTATGTGTGTGTATGTCAGTATGTATATGTGTCAGTATGTATGTGTGTGTATGTCAGTATGTATATGTGTCAGTATGTATGTGTATGTATGCCAGTATGTATGTATGCATGCCTGTATGTATGTGTCTGTATGTCAGTATGTATTTATGACAGTATGTAGGTCTGTTTGTCAGTATCTATGTCTGTATGCCAGTATGTATGTATGCATGTTTGTTTGTCAGTATGTATGTCTGTATGTATATGTGTGTGTGTCAGTATGTGTGTATGTCAGTATGTATGTGTGTATGTGTGTCTGTATCTCCTTATGCATGTGTGTGTGTCTGTATGTATGTCAGTATGTGTTAGTGTGTTTGTATATGTGTGTCAGTATGCCTGTATGTGTGTATGTCTGTTTCAGTTGGTGTGTCTGTTAGTATGTGTGTATCTTTCTGTGTGTGTGTCTGTGTCCTTTTGTATCAGTGTGTGTGTCTGTGCTTGTGTCTGTGTGTGTATTCCCATGGGCGGGATTTAGAGGCGGGCCCTGGGGGCGGGCTTGGAGGCGAGCCCCGGGGGGGCGAGAACTTGAGCTATGTTAGGGGCCCCAAATTTCTGATGGCGGCCCTGCCAGAAACTCTATTCAAAGTAAACTTTAACCTATTTTTAAACATTTTTTTCTGAGGTCCCATTTGTTTGTGAATGATTATTATTATTATTATTATTATTATGGTATTTATTGAGCGCTGTCAAATTCCGCAGCGCTTTACAATGGGTGGACGAACAGACATGTAGTTGTAACCAGACAAGTTGGATACACAGGAACAGAGGGGTTGAGAGCCCTGCTCGGTGAGCTTACATGCTAGAGGGAGTGGGGTAAAATGACACAAAAGGTAAGGATAGTATTAGACTAGTGACAGTTGCAGAAGAGGAATCAGTCAGGATCTATTTAGTTTAATTGATACGCTTTTATGAAGAAGTAGGTTTTTAACGATTTTTTGAAGGAGTGAAGACTGGGTGAGCATCTAACGGAGGAGGGAAGAGAGTTCCACAGGAACAGTGCAGCCCTGGAAAAGTCTTGAAGGCGAGCATCAGAGGTGGGAGTACAGACAGAAGATAGACGCAAGTCTTCAGCAGATCGTAAGGGCCTAGACGGGACATACTTGTGTATAAGGGAGGATAGATAGGTGGGAGCAGCATTATGTAGAGATTTGAAAGCAAGAACCAGAATTTTAAATTGAGCTCTATATTTTATAGGAAGCCAATGTAGGGACTGACAGAAGGGTGAGGCATGGGAGGTGCTGGCGGACAGGAAGATGAGCTTCGCCGCCGCATTCATTATGGACTGTAACGGCGCAAGTTGGGAGCACGTAAAACCACTGAGAAGCGGATTACAGTAGTCAAGGTGAGAGAGGACAGTGACATGGACCAACACCTTAGTCGCATCTGGCGTTAAGTAGGGGCGGATGCACGCAATGTTTTTGAGATGGAAATGACAGGATTTGGCGATAGATTGAACATGAGGCTTGAAGGAGAGGTCGGAGTCAAAGAGAACACCTAGGCAGCGAGCCTGCATGGTGGAGCTGATGGTAGCACCGTTGACGTGGAGGGAGACAGACACAGGAGTAACAACACTTGAGGGAGGAAAGACCAGAATTTCAGTTTTGGTCAAGTTTAGTTTAAGGAAGTGGGCAGCCATCCAGTTAGAAACAGCAGAGAGGCAGTCAGAGACACTAGTCAAAAAGGACGGGGAGAGATCAGGAGAGGACAGGTAGATTTGTAAGTGATGGAATTATATCTCTTAGCTGACAATTCATTACTTTATGCAACATTCATCATCTTGAAAATAAGGTTCTAGATAAAAACAGCAGCATTTTTATTTAATCTGCAAGGCTTATACACTACATAATGTTTTTCCATAAGCCACAAACTCTTCATTGGCATATGATTTTCACTGCAGCTAGTGCCCAGTTGAACATATGCATTCCATAACCCAACTCTACCAGAATAGAGAATATATATATATTTTTTTCATATATTTTGCAGAATGAAATTTAGTTCACTCACACTCATTCATTCATTATAATTACCAACCTGTAGAGGAACACATTTCTCTGCTATAAGTCACTAATCACTGATATAAATTTCTGAAAAAGTGTGCTCATCCCATATCCATACAGTAAAGGAAATTCCAATGGGTCATATCATTCCTACGGTCAGGGAAGAGGTAGGAGTGGATTGACGAACATTTTACGGTTAGCATTACAATTGCAGTACGGAGATTGATAAAGACTGCTATATTAGTTTTAAATACCTGTATTTTAGAAACATTTAAACTTTTTTCATACTGAATCTGGGCATTATGTTCCTTCAGGGGCCTTACTAATATCTATAATCAAGGTATCTGACCATTTTTCTTTATTTTTGTCACACCTGCTGTATTTGAGAAACACTGCATTTTTGCTTTATACTATAATTTTTGACCCTGTGTGAAATTTTGCAAGACAAAGGACACTGCCTAAAATGTTATATTTCCCAAATTCTTTATATAGGCTAAAAAGAGAATAGAAATTGCATAACATCATTTTAATTTTTACACCTGTTTGCAAAGCAATCTATGCACAAAATTTCTGTTACATATTTACATATCATGCAAATATGTTGTCAATGAAAGTGTTTGTTAGTGAAGGAAAGTGGCACACCATCAACAGTCTAACCCCACAGTGGTACATTTGGCATGTATACATACTTCCACTTTTTATTAATACAGAATTAAATGTTATTATTGCATGACAATTTACACTGGCATTTTATAAAAAAGTCAAGATAATGCCTTCTAATAACACCTCTCCCTAAAATAACTACACAACCCTCCCCAGACAAAAGCAAATAAAAACACACAAAAAACCCAACAAATTAATTTGTGAGGAAATACCAAAAATTAAAAATGTTATAAGTGCACACTGGTTTCAGAGAGAATTTATTATAAGTAATTTAACCTTAAACAGTACATTTTTGTGTACACTGTAAATCCTGCTTCATATACTGTAACTTCTACTTTCAAACAATTTGATCAGGATGGTGGGATAGGGCCTCATTACATGACCGTGGGACCAAGAACATCCGTTCGTCCACAGCACACGTGTCTTCTGTTGCCCCCACAACAATGAAAGCACTGGAATATACCCCATAAACTTGAGGACTTTATTTAATCACAGTACAGATCATGATGGAACATTAGTAAAGACATCTGTGGAAGTACAGATGTGGATTCGGTGCTTCTTGTTACGCTACTGAAGTAGCAGAGCTACCAGGTTACATTGGACTGAGTGTCAAAAGCTGCACAGCTGCACCCCAGGCCACAAAGAAGGTGCAGTTTTTATGTGCACCCAAAACACACATCAACAAGTCTTTGAAAAGAGGATTTGGAAAAATGTTAAAAGTTGTTTTACCTATGACCATGTTATCATTTTATCTTAGTCTATCTCCATTTGGAGTATGAGAAAAGTAATACAAATGTCTAGAAAATCCTTTCAAATAAGTAGGGTATCAAGTTTACTTCTTTATTGCTTGAAATTAGCCAAGTGTTAGTAAGAGGCAACATGTCAAGCTATACGCTGGCTTGTCTTCTTGGAAAATGGACCAAGGGATTTGTAAAGCACTAGAGAATATAATTACTCGACTTTGGTCTCTAATAACAAATCACACACTTGATTCATTTTATGAGTTACAAAAATGCTTTATAAAAAAGAAAAGAAAAAACAATAAGTATTATGCTTTATAAAAAGAAAAGGTAAAGAAAAACCAAAATAATTATTAAGCAAACATATTTAAAGAGCTAGCTGGAGATCTAATCATCAGAATCTGAATCACAAGTCTTTCCCCGTATAGTCTTCTTATCCACCTTCGTAAAATGTGTGCCATGCTTCTTCTGATTTTGGAAAGGTGGCTCCATTAAGTTTCCACTAAACAAAACAAAACAAAAAACAATGAGGCAAAATGCAATTGATAAGTATATTTTTTCAAATACATGTATTTAAAAGGGACATAAATCAGCTAACAATATAACCTTATGTGTTAATGTAACTTCTTGGAAAAAACAATTCTTACACATTCCATTTTATTTTAGCCCCAGAGAGAAATATTCTTTAAGTTTAAAGGAGCACTATAGGGTCAGGAACACAAACATGTATTCCTGATCCTATAGGGTTAAAAACACCATCTAGGCCCCCTGGCACCCTCATGCCTCCCGAAAAATAGTAAAACTTACTTGTATTCAAGTCTGCAGCTGCAAATTTTGTACTGTTTCCTTTAGACCTGCCCAATGCCTACTGACATCAGCAGAAGTGGTAGCCTGATCCAATCACAATGCTTCCCCCATAGGATTGGCTGAGACTGACAAAGAGGCAGATCAGGGGCAGAGCCAGCACATTTCAAACACAGCCCTGGCCAATCAGCATCTCCTCATAGAGATGAATTGAATCAATGAATCTCTATGAGGAATGTTCAGTGTCTGCATGCAGAGGTGGGAAATACTGAATGTTTGGATGCATTTTAGGCAGCCATGACCCAGGAATGATCTCTAACAGCCATCTAAGGAGTGGCCAGTGAAGTTATCACTAGGCTGTAATGTAAACAATGCATTTTCTCTGAAAAGACAGTGTTTACAGCAAAAAGCCTGAAGGTAACCAGTACAAATTCAATAAGCTGTAGTTTTTCTGGTGACTATAATGTCCCTTTAAGGTAGTTAAATGGGTTAGAAAGAGTAATTTTACCAGAGGCGGCTGTAGGCCTTAGGCGAAACTCAAACATCAGGCCCTACTAACCAAAGTGAAAGAAAATAGTGTTGCAATACATGCACACAAATACACATTGATGCACTGTCCACCTGTGTATGTGCCTGAGAGTGTGTGTCTGACAGAGTATCCTTGTGTGTGCGAATGTATGTTTGCATTTTGTCTGGGACCGTATGTGTATGGGGTAGCTGCTTGAAGTGTGTTGTGTGCATGGGAGTCTGCCTGTGGCCTTTGTGCATTGTGTTTATGGCAAAGCTATGTTTCCTGACTGTGTGTGTATGATGAATGTCTTTAGCTGGTGACTGACAAGGTGAGTCAAGGTGTACCAGTGGCAGAGACAGCGTGGCCGGGTGAAGAGGATAAATGGGACAGGGTGGGGGGTGTTGTGAGAGAGAACGAGGAAGAGGGAGTTGATATGGTTTAATGATTGAGTGTGACAGGGTGAGTGGAGGTAAGGGTGTCAGGGCAATTGTGACATGGTAGGAGGGACGAGTGTGACAGGATTAAGGGGGGTTAATGTGACAGGGTGAGTGGGGCAGAGTTGACAGGATTAGAGGCATTAATGCGACAGGATAGGTGTGGCAGGGTTGGGCGGGGGGAGAGTTTGACAGTGAGAGAAGGGGAGTGTGACAAAATTAGGGGTGTTAATTTGACAGGGTGAGTGTGGCAGAGTGAGGGCAGGTTAGTTCGGAGGTGGTGAGATTAACAGGATTAGGAGTGGATAATGTGAGTGTGGATGCATGAAGAGGGGGCGACGGCGCGAGGCGAGAGGGGGGCGACGGCGCGAGGAGAGAGGGGGCCGACGGCGCGAGGAGAGAGGGGGCCGACGGCGCGAGGAGAGAGGGGGCCGACGGCGCGAGGAGAGAGGGGGCCGACGGCGCGAGGAGAGAGGGGGCCGACGGCGCGAGGAGAGAGGGGGGCGACGGCGCGAGGAGAGAGGGGGGCGACGGCGCGAGGAGAGAGGGGGGCGACGGCGCGAGGAGAGAGAGGGACGATGGCACGAGGAGTGATGGTGAGAGGGTAATAATGTGTGGGAGGGGCGACTAAATACCTTTTGTTATTCCCTGGTGGTCAGGCGATAACCGGTCTGCACCTCTGCAATGTGCAGAGCTGCAGACCATGTATCTCGAGAGACCCGGTCAGAGCATTGCCATGGTAACCTGCGGCAACACTCTCATTGGAAACACATGGTCTGCAACTCTGCACATTGCGGAACTGCAGACCAGTGGCAACGGGTGGAAAACGGTCATCCAATATATTTGGCTATAAAACAGTACAATAGTTTAAAATATATAAAATGTACTTGTTAAACTTACTTGTATTTAATAATTTCAGAGCAGCCTAATCTCCATTCCAAAGTCTCTGTGGTAAATTCATCTGTATTCCCAAGATCACTAAAACCAACAATATAATCTTTTGTTTTCCCATCTTTCACCAAGGCCAGTGTTGGGATTACTTTTATACGTAGTCTTTCACATAAGAAAGGGGCTTTCTCAACATTTAACATCAGAAACTTGGTTTCAATATGCTTCTTGGCAAGAATTGCCAGGTGTTTGTCCAATATTTTGCATCTGTAAAATAAAAAAAGGGGGAAAAAAAAAATCATCATCACTTCCAGAAGCTTAAAGCATTGCAATAACTACCTTGGCTTATTGACAAAGGCTCCCAGTCACTGTAACTGCTTCATCTCGTTGAAGAGGTTATTGTGAATGAAGTCCTCCGACACGGTCGTTCCATTCAGCATTAAATCATTTTTTAATTTTTAAAAAAAATTCTTTATTATTTTTATTTTAGTGAAAACACGTAGTTGCAGAGTAGCAATTTTACACTTTACACGGACACGCTCCGTCATTAGCTTGCGTCTAGAGTAGTGAACATTACAGATGAGCATTTGCAAATACATGGTCAGTTCATAAACATAAACATCTCACTGAATTGGTTATGGTATCTGGAGTACTCTGACATTGTCCCTTCATTCAGTGTCAAACAATTTTTAAGTAGTTAACTCTAAATAAGGATTGCTAGCCACCCACAGCTAATTTATACTGGAGATATAGCTAATGGAGAGATTACACCCTTCCTTCTTGCTGTGCCAGTTCATACCAGCAATGGGTGCCGTGATAAGCCGAATGCAGTCAGCTGTCACTCTCAGCCAATCACATCTACCCGTTGTTGCTCAGGCTAGTGTGTCTTCATTGGGCTGCTTGAGACTCATTTTGCATTAAACTATTAAAAATTATTTAATGCTGCCTTACTCTTTTTCCATATTTTCTTACTTTGCTTTCCTCTCTCATTTCTATGTTTATAACGAACAGCAATTGGTTGGTCACAATACGAGTAATAACGGAGAGAACACATGTAGACCAACAAGAGGTTGATCTCTTACACACTTTCATATGTTAAAATTATATGTTTATGAACGGACACTTTTTTTTCAAATGCTCAACTGTAATGTTCACTACATAGTGCTACACTTTGTGTCAAGTGTAAAGGTCCCTCCTCAGTTAGTCTTGTCTGGGAGCAGAAGATGCACTTTGATAGAGATGCAGAAACATGGCTAGAGTGTCAAATCCACTGCATCTCTATCTGAACTGCACTAGTGTACTGCTTCTAGCCGAGTTTCAACATGAAGATCTGAAGGGAGAGCAGCACAGAGGGGGGGAAAAAAATAAAAATTAATCACACAGATTTGCACCCCCCCAACCCCACTAAAAGATCTAGGGCTACACCCCTCCAGTGATGTGTCTGGTCAGAATATATTGCAAAAAAATGGGAAAATAATGAGATTGAAAATACTCTGTGGAAAAAAAACAACCCATATACACTGCGTGCGCAGTATTTTGTATCGCTGCAATATTAAAACACTCTATATGCTTCTGAGGAACTCTATAATACACTTAAATGAACACTACTATAGTGTCAGGAATACAAATATACTATAATATATAAATATATATTTTAGGTGACTGGCCCCCTGTTAGAATAGTAAAAGTTATTTTACTTACCTCTATTCCAGCGCCACAGGGTCTTGCCACGGCTGACTCAGCCCCCGTTCCGCCTCCTTGGCTGAGATCATCAACATTTACGATCTCGGCTAATCCAATACTTACCCATAGGAAAGCATTGGGCAGCTATTGCGCATTTACTGTAAAAGGCAGCGCCGAGTCAATCAGCATCTCCTCATACACATGCATTGAATCAATACATCTCTATGAGGAATGTTCAAAATCTCCATGCAGAGTGTAGAGACTCTGAATGTCAGTGCTGCACAATGTAAAGCACTGACACAGGAAGCACCTTGAGGGGCCATCTGAGTGACTGCCACTGGAGGTGTTCCTGGGCAATAATGTAAACACTATCTTTGTTCTGTAAAGTCAGAATTTAAATTGAAAAGCCTGCAGGGACAGTATGTAGACACCAGAAGAAGTACATTAAGCTGTAATTGTTCTGTTGACTATAGTGTCCCTTTAATCAAACTGCACAATGTTAAACACCACATACACCATGCCTTTAACCATATCTTTTCCTATACCAGTTCTCCACACTCCTCCACAATTAAGACTTCATACCTCTAATTATAAATTACATTTCCCTGCAAACTATCATCTTCTTTTCTAAAACAGATCCGCAAATTAATTCCAAGCCATTTTCAACTGTGCATCACAACTCTGCAAATGCTAACAGAAATTAAAATTGGACCTCTGTTAGCAAGTCACATGGGGCCATGGGTGGCACAGTAAAGCATCTGCTGGAATGAGTGAGCACAGTTGCATTAACCCCTTCAGGACGGGTGACGGACGAGGTCCGTCACAGAGGGGAGACCCTTAACGACGGGTGACGGACCTTGTCCGTCACGCGGTAAAATTAACCCCGGATCGCCGCTATTGCGGCGATCGCGGGGTTAATGGTGCTCCCGGTATGCCTCTGCATTAGAGGCATACCGGGAGCACCCGGTCAGGCTGCCCAGCACATGTGCTCGCTCTGACCGCAAGTCAGAGCGGACACATGTGCTCTGTATACTCACCTACCGGCTCCCTGCACTTCCGGGTTCTGTGTGAAGTGCAGGGAGCCGGATCAGTGCTGATCCTGCCCCCTGCTGTTTAAAAAAATAAAGTTTATTTAAAGTCCCCCCCCCCCTTACCCATTTTAATAAAAAAATTAACCCCTTCCCTGCCAATTGATCACTGATTACAGTGATCAATTGGCAGGGATTACATTTTACTATGATCTGATTAAAAAAAAAAAAAAAAAAAAAGAATTAACCCTCAGGGGTTAAATTAATGAAATTAATTAATTACATTATTTTTTAATTATATATTTAGCTAGCTGGGGTAGGTGGAAGTTAGTGGGGAATTGGGGGATTTGGCGTTAGGCTAACTAGGGGTTAACGTTTAAAAAAAAGTTTTAAAAGAAACTTTAAAATGTTAAAAATTAAGCTTAAAAAAATGTTTTAATAACATTTAAGTAAAAAAAACAAAAAAAAACACACTTTACCTAGTCCAAATAAAAATTAACCCCTTCCCTGCCAGTCGATCACTGCCTACAGCGATCAAATAGAGATCACAGTATTATACTGTGATCTAATTTTTTTTAACCCCTGAGGATTAACTTTTATTTATTTTTTTAACCCTCAGGGGTTCAATTTATTTAATTAATTAATTTAAATATTTTATAACTATATATTTTGCTAGCTGGGGTGGGTGGGAGTTATGGGAAAATGGGGAATTTACTGTTAGTGCTGCGTACTGCTAGTTAGGGGTTAACGGTAAAAAAAAAAGCTTAGAAAAATGTTAAATCTGTAAAAAAGTTTTAAGAAAGTTTAGGAAAGTTTAAAAAAAATTTATAAGCAAAACAAAAGTTTAAAAACTAGTTTTTAAAAGTAAAAAAGTTATAAAAAGTAAAAAAATACATTTTAAAAACGCTCATTACCACTACACCTGGAACAAACTAGAGAAATAATTATCCCACACCAAAGTTCAAAATATGCCTTTTGAATTACCCCTGGGTGTATTCTTTAATAAATAGTATGTGTTTGTGGGGAAGTTTCAATAACCAACCGTCTAAACTACTCCAAATTGGAACATGGACACAGTGTAAAACTTCAAAGTTAGAAAAAAACTGAATGGCTGCGTCTCAAATGCGCCCCTTCAACATCCACATATACCTGGCAAAGGTACATACGGGGGTATTGCTGTACTCAGCCGACATAGCTGAGCAACATATGAAGTATTATACAGTCATAGCACACATAAGGTTTGCAAAATATGCTGCGCAAACTCACTTTGTATGTCAAAAAGGCAGAAAAAATGCTTATTACCACTACACTTGGTACAAGCTAGCGGAAAAATGATCCCACGCTAAGGTTCAAAATATGCCTTTTGAAATACCCTGGGATGTCTTCTTTAAGAAATGGTATGGCTTTATGGGGAATTTGGATTATATAGCCTGGTAAAATACTCTAAAATGGGACATAGGCACAGCATAAAAATTCAAAGTTTGAAAAAAACTGGAATGGCTGTGTCCCAAATGTGCCCCTCCGATGTCCACACATACCTGGCAAAGGTACATACGGGGGTATTGCTGTACTCAGCCGACATAGCTGAGCAACATATGAAGTATTATACAGTCGTAGCACACATAAGGTTTGCAAAATATACTGTGCAAACTCACTTTGTATGTCAAAAAGGCAGAAAAAACGCTTATTACCACTACATCTGGTACAAGCTAGCGGAAAAATGATCCCACGCTAAGGTTCAAACTATACCTTTTGAAACACCCTGGGGTGTCTACTTTAAGAAATGGTAGGCCTTTGTGGGGTAGTTTGAATTTAAAACCTGCGAAGATGCTTGGAAATTGCACATAGGCCCAGCGTCAAAATTCAAAGTTTGGTAAAAACGGATATGGCTTGGTCTCCTATATGGCACTGTAGCTTCACAAAATAGTGCCAAAGACATTCATTGGGGGTGTATTTTTACTCAAAAGACTTAGCTGAGCATAATTTGGGAGGTTTGAACTTAGTGGCACATATGAAATATACAAAATGCCCAGCAAAAATGCAATCCGTATGTAAAAAATGCACAAAATAATTTTTTTGCCACATACTTTGGCATATATTGGTGAAAAAATGGGGGTATGTTAAGGCACAATATGCACCTTATAAGATACCCTGGAGTTTCTACTTTTACAAATGGTAGGCCTTTGTGGGTTTTTTTTGAACATTCAAACTGTTATAATACCCCAAATGGAAGCTAAGGCTCATTAAATACATCTCTCAAAATTCTACTGTGAATACTGAAAAGGACAGGTATCCTGTATGGCACTGTAACTTCACGAAATAGTGCAAAAGACATACAATGGGGGTGTCATTTTACTCAGCAGATGTAACTGAACACAAAATAAAACTTTGTACAGGAATAGCACACACCAACTTTACAAAATATACACGAGAATTTCTCTGTTATAAGTTTGTGTGCCAAAAACCAAAAAGAACACAATTTTACTCCAATATTTAGCAGAGGTTGGCGGTGAAATGGCTACGTAGAAAGTGTCAAAACAACCTTAGATAAATAGCCCGTGATGTCTACTATATATATATATATATTTACTTTTGTGTGGCAATTTTGTTTTCTTTTATGGCTATTAAGCTTACAAGACAAACATACCAAATTCTAAAATCGCTCCACATTAAAAGTTTATTTTACTCCTTGTGCTTTGTGACCTGTAACTACCAAAAAAAACTTAAAATCCCAGACACATTATATATTTTGTAAATCAGAACAAATAAATTTATTTTTAATTACTTTCCTTAACCTGCACTAATTATGCACACATTATTATTGCAAAAACTGTAAAAAAAAAAACAACCAATATTTTTCATTTTTTTTGCATTTTTCTGTATTTTTTTTTATAATAAGTAAGCATTTATTATATATATATATATATATATATATATATGTGATATCAACTTAAAGCCCTTTCTGTCCTTTAAAAAACAGTATATAATATGTGTCGGTGCAATAAATGAGAGAGATGCAAATTGCAGTTGAACGCAAAATTGTTTGTGTCATTAAGCGTAAGTCAAGCTTCTGAAGCTGTGTCCTTAAGGGGTTAAATATGTGTGCTATACAGCACTGATAAGCTGTAGGTTGAGATTTCTGACATCACTTGCCACAGCACAAGCCACATGCAACTAAACGGATTACTGTAGCACTCACCCCCCATTCTTTTCTGCTTGGAGAGCAGACATACACTCTACACAAATATGCACACATTCAGACACCCTGTATTCACACACATAAATACAGACATTCCATACAAAGATGCCACTGTATACATATAAACCAGAAAAAAAAAAAAAAAAAGAATAAAAAAATAAATAAATCACAAAATCTTGTGCCTGAGGTAACAAATACGATTTCAATCATGGCTAGTATCTCAATAAATTTAGAGAATATATGTAAGTTTATAAAATACCTCATGGTTGAATCTTTGTAAAAATGGCAGACAACATTTTTACTTTCTTTCACTTCTTGAAAGAAGTCTCTCTCGCTGGGGATTTCTCGATATTCACCATGCCCTTTTGATAACCATTCCTGAATACAAATAAAATGATAAAAAAATAAAAATAAAATTGCATTAGTTATGCTACAAAAATATGTTAACCCCTTAAGGACTGAGCCAAATGTACACGTTGTGAACGAAGCAAAATGTAAACAAAACCTGGCAATTGCACTACAGGTCTGTCCAACCGTAATTCACCTCTTTCATATCAAATGCACCCACCCTTATTATATATCATTTTATTCAGGGGAAACAGGGCTTTCATTTAATATCAAATATTTAGCTATCAAACATAATTTAATATGAAAAAATGGGAGAAAATAGGAATTTATTTTATTTTTTTAGTTCTACATGACATTTTAACTGTCAATGTCATAATACTGTTTGCTTTTACTGCAATAAAATACACATATTTGTATTCAGCAAAGTCTCACGTGTAAAACAGTACCCCCTATGTACAGGTTTTATGGCGTTTTGGGAAGTTACAGGGTCAAATAGAGCACGTTACATTTGAAATTGAAATTTGCCAGATTGGTTACGTTGCCTTTGAGACTGTATAGTAGCCCGGGAATGAAATTTACACCCATAATGGCATACCATTTGCAATAGTAGACAACCCAAGGTATTGCAAATGGGGTATGTCCAGTCTTTTTTAGTAGCCATTTGGTCACAAACACTGGCCAAAGCTAGCGTTAGTATTTGTTTGTGAAAAATGCAAAAAACACCTATTTTGGCCAGTGTTTGTGACTAAGTGGCTACTAAAAAAGACTGGACATACCCTGTTTGCAATACCTTGGGTTGTCTACTATTGCAAATGGTATGCCATCATAGGGGTAATTTTCATTCTTGGGCTACCATAGGATCTCAAATGCAACGTAACCAATCTGGCGAATTTTAATGTGAAAAAAATGAAACACAAGCCTTATATTTGACGCTGTAACTTTTGAAAACACCATAAAACCTGTACATGAGGGGAAAAAAAATATATAAAGGTCCAAATAGTGTACCTTAGGATAGAGTATGAAACACAGCTAAAGGTTTAACTCTCAACTGAAAAGAGGGACTCCACTAAAAAATCCCTATAAGTGCAATAGACAAAGAAATATTGGATGAATAATCCAATACATATTCAGGAGTAGTATATACCTTTAAATTTTAAACTGGTATGTAGAAATGCTGAAATGACATAATATGACTTAAAATAGCATATGAATAGAGAGAATATATAAAACATATGATATAAGTATGCTTATGTTGTAATAAATCCAATAGAAAAAGAATGTCCCTATATTGATACAATTGTATCACTTGGGATGAAAGTTCATAACAGTCCATGAATAATGTTAGCTATTTCAGCTTTTGCCAGTTATAAGCAAACTGGAATAGTGGATGCTGAATTAATGTAGTACAATAATATACTTAATTGCATATGCAGCAATAGTGGTTTGCAATATACTTGTGTACTTATAGAAAAAGAAATAATAATCACTAACAGGTCATAATTAGTGACCTGCAATATAATAGAAAATAAATCCCTCCGGTCTTGCAGAGACTGGTGCAAAGATTCAAAAGTGCTTTCTGTGTTAAAAATAAATTTATTGTCCACAGAATAAAACAGAGATTGCACTTACAATTAAGCAAAGAACTAGATGTGCTGAGCTGGAATCGGGAAAGTACGGTGTTAGCAGCTGTTAGGTGCTGGTCCTGCCGGCAGATGATGCTGGGAGCCGCGTGCGTGTCACCGATCTTCCTGCGTTCCAAATACAGCCTGTTCGTCTTTACGGTAAGTGCCAGAAAGTAAAATAATGTCCTTACGCGTTTCGTGAGTCTGCTGCTCACTTCATCAGAGGATGTTGAGCAGGAGAGACCCACGGGTTTAAATAGCCAGTGGTTGCTTTGGCTTTTGTTAACCCTTTCAGGCTAAAGTCCATACTTGCTCTCTCATAGTGTATTTCACAGTTGTGATTCACAATTACAATTCATATAAGCACTAAATATTTTTATACACATATTTGAATAACTTTAATAATAAGATAAAAAATTAAATACATTTTATGCTAAAACTTTCAATTGCAAAAGAAAGAGACTTTAATATATAAAATTCTAGTTCATTAAGAGACTCTATTGGAATGTTTGATAAAATAGATATGTCAGCATATTTTTCAAATAGTATAATTTCAATATAATGCATTTGTAAAAATCATTGGATACCAGTTAATCTAAATGATTGATATAGACATATTATTGGAAAAGGAGATTTCATAACTCATTGAAAAATTTACATATACATAAGAAAATGATTCTATATAAGAGAACAATAGTATTATATTATATAAGAGACTGATGTTAAGGAGAAATCGTTCGGACTAAAAAAGAACAGGACAAGAATAATTCATTAATTGAATAAAAATATAAATAGACATAAAAAAGAGAATACTTAATTTTATAAAAGATTTCCATGTCCATGTGAAAAACTATATATAGGACGCACAAAAAGAACATTTAAAATAAGAATGGGATAACACATTAGGAACATCAAAAAAGGACTCCATTCTCATAATCTTTCCAAGCACTTTGACATTAAACATGCAAAAAATCCTGAAGGTCTTAATTTTATGGCAATACAAAAAGTCAATATCCCATGGAGAGGAGGAGATTTAGAAAAAGAATTAGATAAAGCAGAGGCAAGTTGGATATTTAAATTAGAAACATTAGAACCAAAGGGACTAAATGTAGATTTTGAGTTGCGAGCATTCTTATAAAAAACTTGTATACATTTAAAAAAAAAAAAAATTTTAGAAAATTTTTATAAAATCTTTTATAAAATTAAGTATTCTCTTTTTTATGTCTATTTATATTTTTATTCAATTAATGAATTATTCTTGTTCTGTTCTTTTTTAGTCCGAACGATTTCTCCTTAACATCAGTCTCTTATATAATATAATACTATTGTTCTATTATATAGAATCATTTTCTTATGTATATGTAAATTTTTCAATGAGTTATGAAATCTCCTTTTCCAATAATATGTCTATATCAATCATTTAGATTAACTGGTATCCACTGATTTTTACAAAAGCATTATATTGAAATTATACTATTTGAAAAATATGCTGATATATCTATTTTATCAAACATTCCAATAGAGTCTCTTAATGAACTAGAATTTTATATATTAAAGTCTCTTTTTCTTTTGCAATTGAAAGTTTTAGCATGAAATGTATTTAATTTTTTATCTTATTATTAAAGTTATTCAAATATATGTGTATAAAAATATTTAGTGCTTATATGAATTGTAATTGTGAATCACAACTGTAAAATACACTATGAGATAGAGCAAGTATGGACTTTAGCCTGAAAGGGTTAACAAAAGCCAAAGCAACCACTGGCTATTTAAATCCGTGGGTCTCTCCTGCTCTACATCCTCTGATGAAGCGAGCAGCAGACTCACGAAACGCGTAAGGACATTATTTTACTTTCTGGCACTTACCGTAAAGACGAACAGGCTGTATTTGGAATGCAGGAAGATCGGTGACACGCACGCGGCTCCCAGCATCATCTGCCGGCAGGACCAGCACCTAACAGCTGCTAACTCCGTACTTTCCCGATTCCAGCTCAGCACATCTAGTTCTTTGCTTAATTGTAAATGCAATCTCTGTTTTATTCTTGTGGACAATAAATTTATTTTTAACACAGAAAGCACTTTTGAATCTTTGCATCAGTCTCTGCAAGACCGGAGGGATTTTTTTCCTATTGTACTGCAGGTCACTAATTATGACCTGTTAGTGATTATTATTTCTTTTTCTATAAGTACATAAGTATATTGCAAACCACTATTGCTGCATATGCAATTAAATATATTATTGTACTACATTAATTCAGCATCCACTATTCCAGTTTGCTTATAACTGGCAAAAGCTGAAATAGCTAACATTATTCATGGACTGTTATGAACTTTCATCCCAAGTGATACAATTGTATCAATATAGGGACATTCTTTTTACTATTGGATTTATTACAACATAAGCATACTTATATCATATGTTTTATATATTCTCTCTATTCATATGCTATTTTAAGTCATATTATGTCATTTCAGCATTTCTACATACCAGTTTAAAATTTAAAGGTATATACTACTCCTGAATATATATTGGATTATTCATCCAATATTTCTTTGTCTACTGTACATGAGGGGTACTATTGTACTCGGGAGACTTCGCTGAACACAAATATTTGTGTTTGAAAACAGTAAAAAGTATCGCAGCAATAATATCATCCGTGTAAGTGCTGTTTGTGCGTGAAAAATGCAAAAAAGTCACTTTTACTGGCGATATCATCGTTGTAATACATTTTATTGTTTTGAAACACTAATATTTGTGTTCAGCGAAGTCTCCCGAGTAGAACAGTACCCCCCATGTACAGGTTTTATGGTGTCTTGGAAAGTTATAGGGTTAAATATAGTGCTAGCAAATTAAATTCCCTTTACTTTCGGCATGGGTTGTCAGGCAGCTCCCGCTAATTGTAATTAATTAAGGTACCTAATTATGTAAAAATATTACATAAATATATATGTAGAATTAACATATGTGTATATATATAATTTTTTAAAAATATTTTTATTTATATATAGGTATATATAGTGATATATACGCATAAATATTTATATATATAGATATATATTATTTCGTTCACTCTCACATGGCCGGGGGGGCTGCAGGAGGGAAGATCTGGGTGGGGAGACCGCCGGCGACCGGGTAAGTAAAGAAAGACCAGAGGGCGTACTATTACGCCTGGCGGCGTTTAGAGACGCCTAAAATAGGGCGTAATAGTACGCCCTCCGGTCTGAAGGGGTTAAATACTTACAAAACTAAGACATCTGTTACCAGACTAACCTAATTCAGCGGGGAAAAATTATCATTGCCTCGCTGTGGCTCTTTCCTTCACCTAGAAGACACTACCAGACCAATGCCCTGAAATCTGACAGCCAAGTAACAAGCTGTAGTTGTTCTCGTGACTATACTGTCCCTTTAAGGCACCCTGGTGCCTGGAAGTTAATTATTATCATCATCGCCATTTATATAGAGCCAACGGAATCCGTAGCGCTTTACAATATTATGAGAGGGGGGATTTAACTATAAAAAGGACAAGTACAACTTACAGGAATGATAAGTTGGAGAGGACCCTGCTCAAACGAGCTTACAGTCTATAGGAGGTAGGGTATAAAACAAATTAGGACAGGAAATAGCAATCAAATAAGGTGGGAGTGAAGCAGAGAGTAAAGTGCTGCCCTTTAGGAGAGAGCAAGAGACAGGTATGTGAGGTAGAGGTTACTCTATAATTAGATTATATCTAATTATCTCCCAGATACAGATGTATTTGTTTAATTAATGACTCCCTACTGGGGGTCTGTGTATAAATGTGTGTGCTGTGACCAAATACAGCATTTATATTTTTACCCTTCATCAAATTTCAACTGGGCGGCCAAATCACTGAAAACTCTGTGAGAAAAAGGACCAAGACTTTGGCGGAGATACTCTGGTCAAGTATTGGAGCTCTGCCACAACACCTATTTACTTGTTTTTGTTGCTGGGCCTTCTTCAGGGCTTGTAGTCTTCTTTCTTTCAGGACTTCCATCTCGTCCTCATCAGGCTTATCCATCTTCTCCATTTCTGCATCCAGCTGCTCCTCCATAATTTTGGCAGTCTGGAGTAACTGAGTCTCCAGGACTTTTGAAATCATTTCCATAGAAGTATTAGCAGCCATTCTAAGTGCACATAAATTAAAAAATGATTAATGGGACATGGATCACTTGACAATTATTTTTTCTTTTTAATCCAAACACTTTTAAACAAATAAACATGCTATAAACTTGGTAAGATTGCATTGTTAAACACGCCTCTCAGGTGCGGGAATTTCTTCAGCGCCCTGCAAGCCCTTACCCACGATAGAAATAGGACATCATTGTGCAGCAGGAGAGAGAAACCTGACATGGGAACCTGCTCTGCATGAATCACACTGACTTCCTCCTTCCCCCTGTCAGTATGTATCTTCAAACTGCACATTTGAAAATTTGTCAGGCATGCCCAGTGCACTTTTCCAGTATTGCTAGGGATAGTGCATTGATTAATGTCTCCCATGGAGAGGGTGTGGAAGAAAGAAGCAGGTAAGGGAAAAATAAATATTTGCCTGCTTTTTTCAACTTGCAGAATGAATCAAATGTCTCATTCAAAATTCAAGCTTTTGCATCAGGAGACTGTCTCAAATGGATGCGTGTCTCCTACCTGAATTAACAAATGTAACGATTACATCTATTTTGTGTTTTCAGCTGCCTTCTTCATTGACAATTAACACAACAATAAAATATAGCATGATGACCAGTAAGTTGAACTAATGAGTTCAGTTTTGTTGACGACATGGCAGAAAATGCCAATGCCTTTAGCATAAATTAAATAAATGTCATTAAAGTGAATGATTTACAAAATATCTTTTGACTAATAGTTCCATTAGAAGTAAGAGAATATCAAAACTGTAGATTAAAAAGAAATGTCAATGAAGAGAGTGCAAGCAGTAATAATACAACTTAAAGGCTATTAGCAAAAGTCTAACTAATAATTTAATGGAGAAGTAGGCTCTAAGTACATATCTCTGCTCACAATACTCCTGGAGATCCCTTAGAGGTAATTATTTTATAATGTGATTTTAATGAAGGATCCGCCATCAAATTAAAAACGAATTCATGTTATCTTTCCTTTCATGCATAATACAGCAAGGATTTTAATTTACCAGATGTGCCATTACAGTAAAGTAACTATATACATTTTCTTCTGTTCTCTTTTCTAAGAGCAGGTCAAAGATAGATCTTTTGCAGCCTAATAGGCAGTGGTGTATTTTGAATTTGTGCTGTCCTAGGCATGACTAACTCTTGCACCACCCTAATCTAAATTTGGCTCACTCATTCCCATCAAGGACGCACCTTTTCCTATTTAAGATCAACACACACTTTGACGGACATACACACAGATACATACACTGACATTCACTCACTGACAGATACACAATCATTGGCACACATACTGTGTAACCACTGCACGCTTTCGCTGAAGACACACCCACTCACCGACAGACACAAGTACACGGACATGACTGACTCAGAAGCAGACAATGACATACACACACAGTCACTAACAAAGAAACTCACTCACAGACACACACATCCTCACTGATTTGACACACTATGACAGACACACACACATTCACTCACTGATGCACATACTCTGACAGACACACATACTTGATATTGACACACACACACACACACACACAAAAAAGTCGATACACGTTTATTTATTTTTTTTTTTAATTTAAATCCACCCAGCCTCCCTATTTTTAGGAGAGCTGGAGTGTATTCTTCCCATGGGGGTCAAAAGTGGCTGTTGGCCAGAGGGAGTGGGGGGAATCGCGCTCAGTGGATGCGGCGGGGAAGGTGCTTGCTCTCTGTTCCATCTCATGAGCGCCACTTAGTGATGACTGGGTCAGACTGACGTCAATACTAAATAGCGCGAGAAGAGCACATCCCGTCTGCAATAAACATAGCCAAATGCCTGTGAGGGGAAGAGCGGGAGGCTAAGGTCTGTAAAGGTAATGTCCCATTCACTAAACCAAAAAGTTTACCCTTACAGTTAAATCAAAATGTTTTGGTTTTCAATTATCTAGAACAGTGGTCCCCAGTCCAGTCCTCATGGACACCAACCGTCCAGGATTTATGTATTTCCCTTTTTATTCAAGTGGAGATACTGACAAAACCTGGACTCCTGGTGGTCCAGAACGACTGGGTTGGGGACCACAACAACTTTACCAACTTTGTGGTAAAATGAATGTAAAACAGCAGTCATATATGTTAGCAGACTTGATAAGAAGAAAAATAGCGTGGAACTCAATATGCAGATAGGTATTTTAATGATGTTGTAAATACTTCAACAAATAGCTTTGGGCAAAAAAAAAAAAAAAAAAAAAAAAAGGTTCAAACAAGGTCCTGTAGTAATGATGCTTAGCCACAAGATGGTGTGGTAAGAACTAAAATAACAGCTCAGAATAAAGGCCTGCAATTATGCTGTTTGGTCAGAAAACCATACAGGTGGAAACAGTGAAGAATCAGCAATCCTGAATTGAAATATGGAAAGAACTTAAAGGGACTCTCCAGTGCCAGGAAAACATACCCGTTTTCCTGGCACTAGAGAATCCTGGAGTGCCCCCCCCCATCCCATGTCGCTGAAGGGGTTAAAACCCCTTCAGCAACTTACCTGAATCCAGCGCTGATGTCCCTCGGCGCTGCGTCAGGCTCCACTGACATCAGCCCCCTGCTGATGTCAGTGGAGCCTGACTCAGCGCCGAGGGACATCAGCGCTGGATTCAGGTAAGTTGCTGAAGGGGTTTTAACCCCTTGGAGGGACGGACCTAATGCGCATGCTTGGCAATGGCCGCGCGTGTGCGCACATCAGACCTCCCCCCATAGGAAAGCATTATTGAAGGTCCTACGAGGATGTCCACCGTCAGATAACCGACCAAATTCGGTTTGAATTCCGGAAGCCCACTAGTGGCTGTCTGTTAGACGTTTTACATTGCAGCACCAAGTGCAAAAGGGACACAGCACCCAGACAACTTCAGCTAATTGGTTAGCTGAAGTGGTCTGGGTGCCTGGAGTGTCCATTTAAAGACCACTTCAGGAGGTGAGGGAGCTATAGTGCTAGCAATACAGCTTTGTATTACTGGCACTATAGTATCCTTTTAATAACATGTACAGTCTGAATTAAGGGGAATAGTAATATGTCTTACTATCCTCTGATGCAGTCCTTGTGAGGAGAACAGCAGGATTTCAGAAACAGGATCACTAAAGTATGACAGAGAACACCAGTGAATCTGCTGAGATCTGGAATCAAGCAGCTGAACAGCTGGAAACTGGAGGAGCAGGTAAGAGAGAGAAACTGTAGGCTTGCTCCATGAACTATAATTTTACTAACAAGTAGCCACATATGCTCCTGAACAGGTGAGGAGGAGAACTCCATTGCTTGACTGGGGTCTCTGAGGACCTCTTCCACACAGTTTCCAATTTAAATAACACACAATACTTTTTTTTTTTAAAGAAATTTTATTCAGGACTAGCTCAAATGCGCATAACATTTAACTTATAAGGACACACTCAATCCAACACATATAAACAAATCATATGGGGAATCATACAGACACTCATAACACAATTTTATTTTTTAAAGTGTGGGGAAGGCAATGACTAACAAGAAATGGGTACTCTGCCTGCACAAACCATAATATGCAAATCTACCAGAATATGCAAATTGCCAAGTCTTGCTATTCAGGTAGTGCACATAACAATTGCAACCAACAGGTGGCACTCTACATTACTGTTGCCAGTATATATATGGCTGCATAGCCAAATCCGTATAGTTGGTAGAGAGGACAGGAGAGCACACAAAACATTTAACAATAATGCACACCATGCACCTATAATGGGCACAGGGTGACTTATACACTGCTCACAAAAATAACATCCTAGATCTGAATGAATTAAATATTCTTCTGAAATACTTTGTTCTTTACATAGTTGAATGTGCTGACAAAATCACACAAAAATTTAAAAATGGAAATCAAATTTTTCAACCTATGGAGGTCTGGATTTGGAGTCACACTCAAAATTAAAGTGGAAAAACACACTACAAGCTGATCCAACTTTGATGTAATGTCCTTAAAACAAGTCAAAATGAGGCTCAGTAGTGTGTGTGGTCTCCACGTGGCTGTATGATCTCCCCTACAACGCCTGTGCATGTTCCTGATGAGGTGGCGGATGGTCTCCTGAGGGATCTCCTCCCAGACCCGGACTAAAGCATCTGCCAACTCCTGGTCAGTCTGTGGTGCAACGTGACGTTGGTGGATGGAGCGAGTCATGATGTCCCAGATGTGCTCAATTGGTTTCAGGTCTGGGGAACGGGCGGGCCAGTCCATAGCATCAATGCCTTTGTCTTGCAGGAACTGCTGACACACTCCAGCCACATGAGGTCTAGCATTGTCTTGCATTAGGAGGAACCCAGGGCCAACTGCACCAGCATATGGTCTCACAAGGGGTCTGAGGATCTCACCTCGGTACCTAATGGCAGTCAGGCTACCTCTGGCGAGCACATGGAGGGCTATGCGGCCCCCCAAATAAATGCCCCACACACCATTACTGACCCACTGCCAAACCGGTCATACTGGAGGCTGTTGCAGGCAGCAGAACGTTCTCCACGGCGTCTCCAGACTCTGTCACGTCTGTCACATGTGCTCAGTGTGAACCTGCTTTCATCTGTGAAGAGCACAGGGCGACAATTTGCCAATCTGTTCTCTGGCAAATGCCAAACGTCCTGCACGGTGTTGGGCTGTAAGCACAACCCCCACCTGTGGACGTCAGGCCCTCACGGAGTCTGTTTCTGACCGTTTGAGCAGACACATGCACATTTGTGGCCTGCTGGAAGTCATTTTGCAGGGCTCTGTCAGTGCTCCTCCTGTTCCTCCTTGCACAAAGGAGGAGGTAGCGGTCCTGTTGCTGCCCTCCTACGGCCTCCTCCACGCTCTGGACACTACGCTGACAGGCACAGCAAACCTTCTTGCCACAGCTCGCATTGATGTGCCATCCTGGATGACCTGCACTACCTGAGCCACTTGTGTGGGTTGTAGACTCCGTCTCATGCTACCACTAGAGTGAAAGCACTGCCAGCATTCAAAAGTGACCAAAACATCAGCCAGGAAGCATAGGAACTGTGAGTGGTCTGTGGTCACCACCTGCAGAACCACTCCTTTATTGGGGATGTCTTGCTACTTGCCACCTTTTGTCTATCCCATTTGCACAACAGCATGTGAAATTGATTGTCACTCAGTGTTGCTTCCTAAGTGGACAGTTTGATTTCACAGAAGTGTGATTGACTTGGAGTTACATTGTGTTCTGTAAGTGTTCCCTTTATTTTTTTGAGCAGTGTACATAAGAGTAATTGCGGGACCTACATGAAGTGTCCGTCTTATGCTCACAGTGATGGTGACTACCTTCACATACTGTATCATATGTGTCAACTGATAGGCTGTGAAAGTAAAATGGTGTCCATACACTCCTGCTTCATAAAAACTTAATCGAAGGAAGCAGTTATGAGAGTTTGAGTCTTCCTTAAAAATTGCTTAGATGGACACGAGTCAGTAAAAATTTAAAATACTACTGATTCTTCTGTACTTAGTTGTCTGATCTTGACTTATGACATGTCTCAAAAGTTATTCACGTGCAGAGAAACACTCAGGGGTGCACTTATTCAAGTATGAGTGGCCCAATACCAATTAAGGGGGAAAAACTATATGGTGTCTTACAGAGCCATTTGACATGCAAAATATGGAGATTGTGCACAGCATTTATTATCATTGCCATTTATATAGCGCCAACAGATTCCGTAGCGCTTTACAATATTATGAGAGGGAGTATTTAACTATAAATAGGACAATTACAAGAGAACTTACAGGAACGATAGGGTGAAGAGGACCCTGCTCAAACAAGCTTACAGTCTATAGGAGGTGGGGTGTAAAACTCAATGGGACAGAAAATAGCAATCAAATAAGGTGGGAGTGAAAAAGAGCTGGAGAAGAGAGTAAAGTGCTGCCCTTTAGGAGAGAGCAAGTATGTAAGGTAGAGGTTACTCTGGGAGGCCATAAGCTTTCCTAAAGAGATGGGTTTTAAGGCACTTCTTAAAGGATTGAAGACTAGGGAAGAGTCTGATGGTGGTAGGCAGGCTATTCCATAGGAAGGGAGTCGCCCGTGAGAAGTCCTGCAAGCGTGAGTTGGCCATACGGGTGCGAACAATGGACAGGAGTAGAAGGTCACGGGCAGAGCGGAGAGACAGAGAAGGGGCATACCTGTGGATCTGTGAAGAGATATAAGAGGGACTAGAATTGTTCAGTGCTTTATAGATGTAAATTAGTACCTTGAATTGACTCCTATAGGATACAGGAAGCCAATTTAAGGACTGACAGAGGGGTGAGAGAGCAAACTAGAGAGGAAAAATCAGCCTGGCGGCAGCATTCATTTCAAACTGTAGTGGTGCAATACGGCTTTTGGGAAGACCATTCAGGAGAGGGTTGCACTAATCCAAGCTCCTTGGTAGCATCTTGCATAAGACAGAGGCGGATGCGGGCTATGTTTTTACGATGGAATCTACAGGATTTGGCAACATACTGGATGTGAGGCTCAAAGGTGAGGCCAGAATCAAGTATGACGCCAAGACAGCGTGCTTGCAAGGATGGACTTATGTGGATACCACTAACTTGAAGAGGAGGATCAGTATTAGGAGGAGGAAAGACAAGTAGTTCAGTTTTAGAGAGATTGAGTTTCAGAAAGCGGGAGGACATCCAGTCAGAGTTGGAAGAAAGGCAAGCAGTGACACGTTGCAGGACGGCATGTGCAGGGCTTAGCTCGTTGACCGAGAGTGATCAGCAGAAGCTAATGTCTCGCAATGAGCTGTAACAGACCCAGACAAGAAGTCAAACTATTCTAAAACAGTTTGATTCCTTCCAATGGGGCAGTGCTATGGTATTCAAGACACCATAAGCACTACATATATCTTTAGTGGTTATAGTACTATGGGCGTTGCTTTAAATTCAAGGTAGAGATTGGGAGGCCAATGGCTGAATATGAGGTATCACTATTCTGAATTGGGGGTTGGAAATCACCTGGGTACAAGCTGATGCTGAACATTGAGAGAAATGATGGGATTCATTTGGGATGGGTAAGAATGGGCGAAGGGATAGTAAATAGGTGTTTAAATTCAATTTGGGGATTGTGAAGCATGGAGCATAAAGGGTGGCTGTTTGCATTGAACGAGATTAAACTAGACTTCAAAATGGGATACTATCACCCATTTTGTAGAAGGAAACGAGTCAATAAATGGAATGCGGTGACCGTGAGGGGGTAAATGGAGGACGAGGGGCCAATATTGGCACTGTAGTTAGACTAATATTGGCATTGCAGGGACTAGTAGGAAAGGGGCTTAATAGCAAACATCTAATTAAGCATGTAAAGAAGGTCCATAACAGCAGCATGCATAGGCGTGTGCACAGGGTGTGTCCTCTTCTGCAACTGTCACTAGTTTAATACTATCCTTACATCCCTCAATCCCTCTGTTCCTGTGTGTCCAACTTGTCTGGTTACAACTACATGCCTGTTTGTCCACCCATTGTAAAGCGCTGTGATATTTGATGGCGCTATATAAATAACAATAATAATCCCTGTGGCACGCCTATGGATGGAGACTGGCAGGGGAGATCTCAGGATCTCCCCTGTCGGCTCATGCAGAGCTAGCGCTATCTGAGCGCCGGCTCTGCTCTATGCCTCCATGGGCCGTTGGGGAGATTAAAGATCTACCTCACCGGCCCACAGCAGCATGGAGGGAGGCAGGAGAGGACCCGGGGAGCTCTACCCAGCAGCTCCGCCGGGTTCCTCTTGCGAGGTCGGAGCGTTGCCACGACAACGTAGAGTTCACTCTCCACTGGTCCATCAGGGAAGGCAGCAAGGATCCCCCCCTCCCTACATAAGGTAAGAAAGGAGGGGGGATATTTACTAATCTGCCCCCACAATCCCTCCAAACATACAGCACCCTCACACAGCAGTGTATGTATATATATACACACACACACACATATTGTGTGTTTGTTCTTCAGGGTGCACACCCTAATGCAATAGGCTGCGCACTCCTATGGCAGCATGTTGTGTATGTAAAAACATTTAATAGAAATGATCAACAGAGGCAGGAAGACAATAGTGAATGAGAGATCACCCACCCCGTGATTCCTGCTCCCCTCACGGACATATGACGGAGAGCTGGGACAGCAGGAGGCCAGCAGGGCGGCTGCCATTCCTGACAATGTGTATAGCGCTATAACGGGGGATCCTTCACCCAGCAATACAGAGCGTCTGACACACACTATATCTATACACTGAGTAATACAATAATAACAATAATAACAATGGTGGCAGGGTGAAGCAGCTATTGTCCCGGGTGTGGAGGCCGCCCGCCTGCCGCTCGGTGTTGGAGTGAGTCCTGGCGGCTAGCAGCGTGCTGTCTGCCCCCATGCTGGGGTTAGCGGTCACTCACACACCATGCACATACCTGTCTACCTGTCTCTCACCGACCTGAGGCTCGCTCCGCCAACTGTCACTCAGCGTCTCCACCACCAGCGTCAGCAACGTCAGGCGTCGGCAGGGGGAGACAGCGAGCGCTAGTCACCAGAGACACAAACACTGCTCGCTCATTGTCGCCTGGTTCCCAGTGTTACCATAGAGATAGAGTGTTACCCTGTGTGTGAGCCAGCGGGGCGGCTGGTGTAATTTGGTTAGATTTAGTAGATTGCCGGGCAGCCCTGGTGGAGGTGCGCAGGGCTGTGTGTGGGTCTGGATTATACTGAGAGCAGCGTTTCTCACAGCTATGTCTCTGGTGTTTAACACTCTGTAGTCACATGACCCCGGTGATATTACTTCAATAAAATGTTCTAAACTCCCAGCCCGGCCGGCACACTGTAGGCCATAGCCCGGGCGGGGTACAAGCAGTGCGCGGTGTCAGTATTACTATAGGACACATGGCAGGGGAGGCTTTATTGCAAGCTCCGCTAGACTAGGATCGGACTGTAACTCCCATCACTTATAATAGGTGTGCCGCCTGTACGGTCCGCACCGAGTGTCAAAACAGTGGGAAAGACTTTACGCACAGTCTGACGTCACCGCGTTAGCTGGAAAGCGTACTGCGCTTCTGTTGGCTGGAACGCAGGACGGAGGCGGTGACGCAGTGAGGTCACGGGGTCACGCGCGTGCGTGTTGTGTAGTGGGCGGAGCCGCAGTAGCAGCAGCAGCCTGTGCTCACCATATGCAGCGAGGTGTAATAGCCGGTACAGTCACAGTATACCCGCGGTGGGTGACCGGCTCTCAGCATGGGCAAGAAACAGAAAAACAAGGGAGAGGACAGGTAACCATACTGCCAGCACTCACCGCCAGCTCGCTGTGCTCAGAGCCCGGGGAGGGCAGCCAGCCAGTCATACTGCTCGGCCTAGGCCGCCACCGGGCCGCACAGCCACAGCGAGGCAGCTACACCGGGGATAGAGAGCAGCCGGCCACACCGGGGATAGAGAGCAGCCGGCCACACCGGGGATAGAGAGCAGCCGGCCACACCGGGGATAGAGAGCAGCCGGCCACACCGGGGATAGAGAGCAGCCGGCCACACCGGGGATAGAGAGCAGCCGGCCACACCGGGGATAGAGAGCAGCCGGCCACACCGGGGATAGAGAGCAGCCGGCCACACCGGGGATAGAGAGCAGCCGGCCACACCGGGGATAGAGAGCAGCCGGCCACACCGGGGATAGAGAGCAGCCATCTACACCGGGGATAGAGAGCAGCCATCTACACCGGGGATAGAGAGCAGCCGGCCACACCGGGGATAGAGAGCAGCCGGCCACACCGGGGATAGAGAGCAGCCGGCCACACCGGGGATAGAGAGCAGCCATCTACACCGGGGATAGAGAGCAGCCATCTACACCGGGGATAGAGAGCAGCCATCTACACCGGGGATAGAGAGCAGCCGGCCACACCGGGGATAGAGAGCAGCCGGCCACACCGGGGATAGAGAGCAGCCGGCCACACCGGGGATAGAGAGCAGCCGGCCACACCGGGGATAGAGAGCAGCCGGCCACACCGGGGATAGAGAGCAGCCGGCCACACCGGGGATAGAGAGCAGCCGGCCACACCGGGGATAGAGAGCAGCCGGCCACACCGGGGATAGAGAGCAGCCGGCCACACCGGGGATAGAGAGCAGCCATCTACACCGGGGATAGAGAGCAGCCATCTACACCGGGGATAGAGAGCAGCCGGCTACACCGGGGATAGAGAGCAGGATAGAGAGCAGCCATCTACACCGGGGATAGAGAGCGGCCATCTACACCGGGGATAGAGAGCAGCCAACTACACCGGGGATAGAGAGCAGCCATCTACACCGGGGATAGAGAGCGGCCGGCTACACCGGGGATAGAAACGGCGGCCACACGAGGATAGAAACAGCAAAACCACACACGAGGATAGAGCAACCCGGCCACACGGGGATAGAGAGCAACCCGGCCACACGGGGAGATAGAGCAGCGGCCACACCGGGGATAGAAACAGCGAGGATAGAGAGCAGCAGCCACACCGGGGATAGGAAACGGCGGGGATAGAGAGCAGCCCGGCCACACGAAGGATAGAGCAGCCGAGCCACACGGGGATAGAGCAACCCGGCCACACGGGGATAGAGAGCAGCCGGCCACACCGGGGATAGAGAGCAGCCGGCCACACCGGGGATAGAGAGCAGCCGGCCACACCGGGGATAGAGAGCAGCCATCTACACCGGGGATAGAGAGCAGCCGGCCACACCGGGGATAGAGAGCAGCCGGCCACACCGGGGATAGAGAGCAGCCGGCCACACCGGGGATAGAGAGCAGCCATCTACACCGGGGATAGAGAGCAGCCATCTACACCGGGGATAGAGAGCAGCCATCTACACCGGGGATAGAGAGCAGCCGGCCACACCGGGGATAGAGAGCAGCCGGCCACACCGGGGATAGAGAGCAGCCGGCCACACCGGGGATAGAGAGCAGCCGGCCACACCGGGGATAGAGAGCAGCCGGCCACACCGGGGATAGAGAGCAGCCGGCCACACCGGGGATAGAGAGCAGCCGGCCACACCGGGGATAGAGAGCAGCCGGCCACACCGGGGATAGAGAGCAGCCGGCCACACCGGGGATAGAGAGCAGCCGGCCACACCGGGGATAGAGAGCAGCCATCTACACCGGGGATAGAGAGCAGCCATCTACACCGGGGATAGAGAGCAGCCGGCTACACCGGGGATAGAGAGCAGGATAGAGAGCAGCCATCTACACCGGGGATAGAGAGCGGCCATCTACACCGGGGATAGAGAGCAGCCAACTACACCGGGGATAGAGAGCAGCCATCTACACCGGGGATAGAGAGCGGCCGGCTACACCGGGGATAGAGAGCAGCCGGCTACACCGGGGATAGAGAGCAGCCGGCTACACCGGGGATAGAGAGCAGCCGGCTACACCGGGGATAGAGAGCAGCCGGCTACACCGGGGATAGAGAGCAGCCGGCTACACCGGGGATAGAGAGCGGCCATCCACACCGGGGATAGAGAGCGGCCATCCACACCGGGGATAGAGAGCGGCCATCCACGCCGGGGATAGAGAGCGGCCATCCACGCCGGGGATAGAGAGCGGCCATCCACGCCGGGGATAGAGAGCGGCCATCCACGCCGGGGATAGAGAGCAGGCGGCCACGCCGGGGATAGAGAGCAGGCGGCCACGCCGGGGATAGAGAGCAGGCGGCCACGCCGGGGATAGACTGGGGGAGAGAGAGAGGATGGGCTGAGGCTGTCTCCCAGGCCCACATGGCGAGCTGTGCTCACAGAGTAGCGGGTAATGAATGTATTAAACAGATCGCATGGGATGCTCTGTGTAGAGGGCGGTGTGCTGGGGTTAGCAGTCTTTCTATGTTAGATCTGTTGTGTAAATGGAGGCCTCCAGGTTGTAATAATTAGGGATGTATAGATAGATGGCTGCAATGCACACAGACTAACTCTGAACATACAAGCTTTGTAAATTGCTATGAGATTTGTGTAGGCAAACACAACCTAGTAAACCAACATGTATTACCTGTATTCTTGCTGTTATGTAAGGGTCTAGTAGGGCTAAATACATCCATGCCTGCCTGAGGAATCTAGTGAATCTGTGTCCGGAGGAGCCGTGCACTTCGCTCGGAGGAGCCGTGTGCTGCGCCCGGAGGAGCCTAGCGAAATGCATGGGGATCTGATTTAGCAGAGGAACCAGCACATGGCACTACAGAGGGCCTGGCATGACTTCTGCTTAGGCAGAGGAGTAGAATGATCACAACAAGGCATTTTACTATTTTTATCTATAAATCGTCAACAAATTCTGCAGCGATCTACAATGGGTGGACTAACAGACACATACTAGCATTGCATGCTGTGTAGTGTAGACAGTGAATGGCATGGTGTGCTTTGTAGGCAAAGGCACAGAGTGTCCACCATGAGACGCTGCATTGTCAAATGCATTACATAATAATTTGCGATTTTATAAAACACTGTAGTGCTTTTCTCCTGGTGAGACTCAAAGCACTTTACAAATATACAAACATAAAGACATAAAAGTTAGGAGTTTCTGATGGTCAGATGAGTGGACGGAATGTCTGATGGAAGAGGTGAGTCAAGTCTGTAAGGATGGTGCTTCTCTGAGCACGGTAGATTGTTCCAGATGGTAGGGGCAGCGTGGCTGAATGCCTTGGAACCTGAGTTTGGCTTTATTCTGGGCACTGACGGGAGGAATTTGCTGACTGACCGAATTGAAAGAGATGAAATATAGACTGTAAGGAGCTCTTTTAGGTACTGGGGGCCGTGATTGTTTAAGGCTTTGAAGGTTAGCAGGCCAATTTTAAAATATGTTCAGCATTTAATTAGAAGCCAATGCAGGAAGTGGAGAACAGTTATGTGACAGGAGCTAGTTTGATTGGTCAGTAGTCTGGCTGCTGCATTTTATACAGTCTGAAGGTGATTGAGTTATTTTACTGGGAAGCTCAAGTAAAGTACATTGCAGTAATTTAGCCGAGAGGATATAAATGCATGGATTAATGTTGGCAAATCATCTGGTGAAATTAAGTGTTGTATCCTGGCTATGTTTTTCAGATGAAAGTATGCAGATTTTATTACAGAGGAAATCTGCGATTTAAATGATAGTCCAGAGTTAATCAGCACTCAGGTTTCGCACTTCTGATGAACTAATGAGTAAAGAGCCTCCAAGCTCCAGTCCAGTTGGGTGATAATGGGATATTTTTGTTGCCCGGGGTCCTCTCACCAAGAGTAACTCCTGTTTTGTCCGGGTTTCATTTTTAGCCAACTAGCATTCATCCATTCTATTAGGTCTGCTAAACAACTGTTGATGCGGCATGGTGGGTCTGTAGTAAAGTAGAAGTAGAGTTGTGTGTCATCAGCATAGCAGTGATATCTTAGGCCATGTCCCCTAGTGGTAGCAAGCTAAACTGCGAATAGCATGGGAGACAAGATGACTTATTGCTCATGCAAGTTTCACATTTGTGAATCTTCTTATCTGTTTAAGCTTGGTGGCTTTGGCTATGTTTCCAAAACATATCATTGATCTCTTCTCAAAGGGGGCATCCAACACTGTAATTTCCAGTTTCATTCAGTAAATAATGTCCATGTTTTCTATGCTAATGCAGAGGTATGAAATTCCACTTTAGCAGAGCTGTGTCTGAGAGCCAGGTCAAGATCAAACTTATCCTGGGGTCGGAAAAAAACCTTACAGCACTCTCAAGTGTTCATAGTGTGCTCCTTCAAGAACAGCAGTTGCAAATGGTGCTTGCTGCTTAGGATTGTAACTACAATCAATCTTTGGCAGGCCCGGATGTGTGTCATATTGATGTTCTAATATTCATATATCCGGTGCTGTTCAGTCATATTGTGCAATACAATATTTATTGCACTTGTCCCATCACCCACCATGCATTTGAAGATGATCTCCTAGTTGAAATAACATGCAGAATCTGTCATGTATATTATAGTTTGTCAATCTCCCATTGTACAGCGCTATGGAATCTGATGGCACTATATAA